AATTGAAAATTTTAAAATATATAAAATTCGAATTTGGCCCTAATGACCGGAAGTTAACCTAGAAACGGGCTAATGGCTCATTAGTGAAAGGATTGTGTAAGTTCAGGGATTTTTGTGAAAGGATTTGAAGTTCAGGTACCACTTCGAAATTCCAGCTAAAGTTCAGGTACCATTTGTGAAATTTACCCGAAAAATAATGCCCAAGTGATGCTGGACATTTAGTTGAATAATGACTAATAGATAATGATCAATGGTCCTACATTTGGAAATAAAAACATATGGTCCTATATTGAGAAAGTCATTATGTTTTAGTCCTATTTAGGTAAATTACCTTTGAATTTATGACTTCATATATATGTATATATATATATATACATACACATACACACACACATACATATATATACACACACACACATGTGTGTGTGTGTTAATTAAATTTTAATAAAACATAACACAAGTTAGATATCACGAATGACTTACCCTTTTATAATCTATATTACCCTTTTACAGTATAACCCACACTCCTTACATATAATTAAAAATATTAAATATAATCTGGGTAAAAATTGAGACGCGGAGGAGGCGCAGGGCAACAGGCTTTGCCGCATTAGAAGGGAGAAGGCTAGAAGCGACAAAAAAGTCAAATTGGAAGTCGCGAAATAATCGCGATTCAAATTGGAAGTCGCGAAATAATCGAAGCGACTAAATCGACAAAATCGAAGCAACAAAATAGGGCTTTTCAATTTTCCGATTCTTTTCTTTTTAACGATCGATGATTTCCTACGATTGCACGATCCAGATCGGCAATTCTTCCGACCCAAAAGATTTTTGCAATTTCGAGGGAGAGTTGGATCGGACACCCCCTGGCGATCTCCGGAATCGTACAATCGTACGATCCGGATCGCGATTTTGACTACCATTATTAAGAGTCAACTTTTATGTATGAGTAGTGATTATTGAAGGATAAAATAGATAAAATTCCTAAGAAGATTTAAGAGTGCCTAATATCTCTTAATACCAATTTAGCCTATTTCCTTTTTTTGCCCTTAACCAAGTTTCAAAATTTATCACTGGTATATAAAAAAGATTACAATTCCAATTAATCCCCTGCCAATGTTTTCTTTTTTGACATAAGAAATAAACCACAGCACTAAAAAGTAAAAACCATTTAATACACAAGGTCAGGAAGAAGAACATAAATAAAAACCCCTGCCTCTCTACACCCACGCAGGTCATAGATCAAGCACAATGCAGAACACCGAACAAGGAAGAACAAACTCCGCAGCTTAGAAGAACATAAGACCCAACATATGGAAAAGGAAAAGAAAAAAAATTAACATAACTGAGTTAAGTCTGTGAATGATTAGGTCAGTTGCCATCAATGGCCTGTGGTGACTTTGGTACGAACATGATTAGGCAATATAAGCTATTTGAATATGTTTGCTTGTACATATGAATTACTTAACTAGCCCCTTGACTATTGGCATTTCATAATCAAACGTTCATTCAAGCACTAAATAGGGGCAATGCTACACTCATGTGTGCCAGAGCAAACCCTTTATTACTCTTGAGGGGTGAAGTTACATAGCAATATAGCAGAAAATGATAGCCACTCAACCAGTATGCATAACAATCTCTATCAGAGATCATAAGTCATACATACGATACGGGAAATAGAAACAAGAGAATAGAACTGTACTGTCACAGTAAAGTCCTCACCATGATGCCTTGCATGCCGGAAGCATTTGCGGTAGTAATCACAAGCATATTTGCTGCAAAAATGTGAAACAATAAATTTAGTCATTGGCAGACCTAAGATAGTATGATGATACAATGCAATAAATCATTATATACGCATAAAAATGAATTGCACTAAACAAATCATCAAACTTATGATGAAAACTAAAAAGAGTCACTTGAGATCGAGCTCACTAGACCAAGTCAAAATCTCAAAGACAATACGAAGATAACATGCATACTAGGTAGCAAAATTCTGTTAAATGGAGGCTTTATGACATTTACAGATTTAATAGGGGGATGGGTCTTAAATATGGCCTACTATCTACAACTTCGTCTTGCAATGTTTGACTTTTCAGTCAACCATGTTAAATTTTCATCGATATTTTTAGTTGACAGATAATGGTGAATGTTATTAGTTTTGGAGATTTTTAATTGATTTTCTAGCAGGAAAGAGGAAGTATATTTTCTCATTTTAAAATGTGAAACTGAAAGGGGAATACTCTAGTTTAGAGTAAATTTTATAAATAATCCTCATCACACAGGGTTTTCCATATATAGTCCTCGATTGAAAGATACTCCGTATTATGTTTGTGGTCCTCTATACTTGAGAACTATTCCATAATCATTACTTTGTGGACTATATGGGGAAAAACCTATTTGGATCCAAATGATCCGATCATGAGTTGCTTCTCAAACATATATTACATAAATTATAAGATATAAATTAAATATTCTTCCATTCGATATCGAAGCACAACAAAAAGTTGATTTTTCCTGTTCGAGTTGCTTCAATTAAGGCAAACTGATTTCACCAACAAAAATAGGAGTGAATCTGATGAAAAATTTACCTTACATAAACTGGATTAGAACCAAATGAATCTCAGTGGGGAGGAATGAATTAATTACCCTAAATTCAACTAGTTTCAACCCAATTCAAAACCGAGCGCATTTTATATGCTGAGACCCGCTACCTTGAATAAAGAAAGAAAGTACAATACCTACAAAAGCTCCAGTAAACCCTGCAAGACTGCGCCTTTTCACAGATGACCCAGTTTCTTCCGGAAGAGCCTCGCATAGAATCCTCCCCTCAACCCCTAGCCTCAGTTTCTCATGGTAGCATTCTCCTAGAATAAATTTAAAAATAAAAAGAAAAAACAGTTGTTTCGTTAACGCACATTTGAGCAGTCAGCCTATCATTAGCAAAAACCTAAACTATGAGCCCAGAATCGGATTGAAAATTTACATGGCGAATTCAAATAAATGTTATCTTACCGAGGGGAGTAGTTCTTCTGGGGTGCAGGTGACTGCACCTTGATATTGAGGTCCAACCGACACCATATCTGCTACAGGAGCCGTTGAAGAGTGACAAATTCATCTCTGCAGCGGGTGATTAAGATGATCCCAGAATCCCAGATTGCCAACTGAACCACCGCCCACCGGTATCAGATGACTTCCTCACTCCTGAATTTTTTTATTTTTGCCCCTTTTTAGATAATGGATATGATTATGTTAGAAGAAAGACAACCATGAGACCAAAATACAATGACACATATGTCCTCTTTTGGAAATAGCTTTAGAGATTAGCGTTAGTGTTTTGGATAAAATTTTAACGGTTCATATTACTTTGAAAATGCTAACGTTAAACGCTGTCTGTAGATAGTTTTTTTGAAACGCTAACGCTAATCGCTAACGTTATTCCCAAACATGCCCGTAGAATAGGTATAACTAAAAAAATCAATAATGGTTGAGACAAAAATGGAATGTCACAAGTGAAATATTTTAATCAATTAAAAATAGTCCAATCAACATGTGGCAAGTGAGTAGAGTGGCAAGCTCTACAATGGCAAGTCATTATTTTTATCATTTTTTATATTTTTTTATGTTTCTTTAAACATAAAGAAAATATTTTTATTAATTATTTTATCAAAAAATTATTCTACTTTCTTAAACATTTTTTTCTTCATATAAAATAATTAAAAAAAATTTAAAAAAAAAAAGAAAAAAAGAAGGGTGGAGTGTCACACCCATGTCTCACCAAACAAGGCATTTTGCTCTTGTCATGCCATGATATGAGAGAAAGGAACTCATATGGCAATGCAAGGCATTCTTCTTCCTTCCCTCTGTACATGCTCTAATATCCGAGCTGACTACCCAAAAAGTGACGGTTTTGATTATGACTGATAAAGAAACGCTAGTGTTTCTGAGGGGTCTTTTTCAAAATGCCCTACAAACTGAAGGAATTTATCATTCTACCCTAAAATAGATCGTATTTATTAGCATACCCTTTCTATCAAAGTGAAATTACTCTTTTATCCTTCTCCCCCAAGCTGTTATAGCTAGGTTATCGTTATCAAACCTTTGCGGTAGCTGAGCGTTTCTACTCTAGCAAAGAAACTTGTTATTCTCGTTTCGACTGCGCGCCATTTTTCATCAGTTTTTTTATCCCAATCGACTGCATACTCTTTCACCTCTCATTGGTCGCCACTGCTCGCCGTTTGTTGCCAGCTGTTTGTCGTCGAACCACTCTGCGCAACTGCGGCTCTCACCGTTCTCCGCCTTCCGTTTGTTCCCAGTTGCTTGCCATCTTTCTTTTGTTGTCGATAGTCGGTGAAAGGATCTTTCAAGGTAAGTACACATTCACCTAATTCTTACAGTAAGGATTGTATCATTAAACATAGCTGACAAATTCGGAACTGTTAGATTGCATAAAGGGTCGACATAATTAAAGTCGATTCAACACTATCTGAGTAGTCGACATAATTTAACTCGATTGGGTCTGATTGTTGGCAATCTAAAGTCGATATTTGAATGGTCGACATTATTGATGACGAAATCTGCTTTGCAATAGGGTGAAAACAATAGTATCAGATCACATTGACGTATATGGTCGCTCTAGATAATACATGACATCATCTTAGAGTCGACATATATTTTGTATGCTTTCGACCACATTTTTTTGGTGGATATTATTTTGAAAAGTTTCGATATAAATAAACATAACAGACGCAGATTGATACGTGTTGACACTTAGAAGAGTCGACAATATTAAAGTCGAAATCTGATTTGTGATAGAGTGTAGTCAACCATATCTGACTATGTCGACCTATCTGATTGACTTGACATATATATATATATATATATATATATATATATATATATATATATATATATATATATATATTTGTGTGTGTGTGTTTTCGACGGCAAATGTTTTTTGGATTCTATTTTGACATGTTTCGTTGTACTTATTTCGACATTCTGAATTATTATTGTGTCGACGTATATAGATCGACACAGTAATAAGACGTTTACACATTTAATTCCATTTTTGCAGGCAGATGGCCTCTCTTCTGTCTCCCTTCATTCACAGTGGTGGTGAATGGGTTGACAATGACAAAAGCAAAATCCAATTTAAAAAAAACAAACAAAGTAAGACACAAGTTGTCGAGTGGGAAAGATGTCATGAAAACTTCAATGCCCTTCTCATGTGTATTTATCGGGACTTTGGATTGCAACGGAGTAAGCATCAACTTCAGGTTTCGTACTAATCTTCTCGGTTCGGTAGGGAATTGCCACCTGTAATAATTGCCAATGTACATTCTACATGCTTATGTGTTGAGGTGACTGAAAATGGGGAAAAAGAGTTGGAAAATCAAAATGACAAGCAAGAACATGAAATTGAGGAAAGAGAGTTGGAAAATAAAATCGACAAGCAACGACATGCATTGGATTAAAACGTAAAGGAAAATCAAAATCAAAAACAACATGATTGTGACTTATTCTTCCATGATGAGTATTTTGATTGCAACTTAGATTTTGATAAAGGATCAGGCCAAGGACAAAACGGGGTGTACTTAATGATGAACCAAATGCGAATTTGGAGACATTCATTTGCATAGGATCCAACCGTACTCCTAACTCTCTCCAAGATCTTGAGGTTGATGGAGAGCTTCCCAAGAGTACTCAAGAGAAAGTTTATGTGGAGATTGAAATTCAAAAAGCTACACAAAAGCATGTTGTTGTCGAGGATGGACACTATTCTCGATTTCCAGATGATTTTGATTTTCTTGTCGGTCCTGTAGATGACGATAGTGGCGCGGATGGAACATTTGTCAACGGATCAGACTTGTGTGTTGGATATGAGTTTACCAGCAAGGCTGATTTAAAGCGGAAAATGACCGAAATAGCCATTGCTTGTTGCTTTGAAATGAAGACAGTAAAGAGTGATACAACTCGATATATTCTGTGTTGCACGGTTGCTAAATGTAGTTGGATGTTGCGTGCATTTTCCGTAAAGAACTCCCCTAGATTTATCTTCAAAAGGTACAACGACAAGCATAACTGTGCGATTGGTGAACGTAATGGATACTCTGAGAGGTTCGCGGGAAAACATTAAGCCAAAGACAATTATGACCCTTATGCAAAATAAGAGCATTCCTACAATATATACAAAAGTATGGCTAAGTAGGAAATTCGCAAACAAAAAGTTGATTCATACTCTATTACTCTATAGTAATTACGGCACCATTAGATTTAATCTCATCGCTCCAATATGACCATTTTCTTCATTTTTTGCAAAATTTAGTTTCATTTTAAATTATATAAAAATTGAATTGAAATAATACACACACACACACATATATATAATAGAAACAAAGTTGTACAAAATAAGATGTGACAAAAACATATTCCCCTCGTCTTAGAAAAACTTTCTTATTTTGACTTTTTTTTCAAATTTTGATACTCCGTAATATTAAATAAATAAATGATATAAATATTTGATATATCGAAACTATATCATAAGATGAACCTAATTATATTGATTATACATTATACGGAGTAATTAAATATACGTTTTTCTCAATTTATGACCAAAGAGTATCATAGTTTGACAAAAAAGTTAAAATTAATAAAATGAGCTATTAATGTCCTAGTTTTCATATGTAGTCAGGCATGAGCCAACATAATGTCTATAAAAAATAGAAAAATGCTAAGGGTACACCAAAGGTGTATCCCATTTGTCCCCCACCCCCTCCATCACCATAAAAAAGGCAAGAAAATAAAAAAAATTAAATAAATAAAAATAAAATAAAATTGAATGGTGGAAAAAGGAGTGGGGGACAAATGGGGTACACCAAATGGTGTACCCCTAGCATTCCTCTAAAAAATATCTTACAGAAATATGTCATAGAATTACCATTTACAATCATTTTGAATGTTGAAAATGACTTAGAGGGTGGGGTAGGGTGGGGGGTTTAGGGGGTGGGTTAGGGGGGTAGGAACCGTCAATTTTACGAACGGAGCACCGGAGGTGCCCCAAAAACCCAGTGGCACCGGAGTGACACCGTTCTCCAGTGTCACTAGAACCGGACCGATATTAATATCCACATATACAGTCATCAAAATAATATTCCCTTCGTTCCACAAAACCCTTCTAGTTTTGACTTTGGGGAAAAATAAGGAAAGTGTAATTTTGGTTGACTTTCCAATTTTGCCCCTGATGTGATGGTAAAAGTAAGATGTGATAGTTTGGTTATTAGTAAAAAAGTATGATGTGATAGGTAGGGTATGAAAAAATAGATAAAAGTGGTTTTTTAATAGAAAGTGGAAGTATTTTGTGGAAAGTAAAAAACGAAAGAAAAAAAGTTTTGTGGAACGGAGGGAGTAAGTCATTATAAATCTCCATTGAATCATCATTATTTAAAATCATAAATCATTACTAACAAACACATATGAGACGAAGTCATTATTGACAAAGACCTCACAAAATGAAGTCATTATTTCACTACATATCTTTATTATTCTTTTAGATGTAAACATATCTTTATTAATTAATATCTGATCTACATATCTTTAATGAATAATTTAATTAAATAGGACTAAAATATAATGACTTTCTTAATATAGGATCATATATTTTTATTTCCCAATATAAGATCATTGGTCATTATTAATTAGTCATTATTCAAGTAAATGTCTTCCATCACTGAATATTATTTCTTCCCCTAGACATTATTAAGTCCTATTTAGAAAATAAAAAAGTTTAAGGCCCCGTTCCGTTCAACTTATTTTTTCTTATTTTTTATTATTCTTATTAAAATCAGATCACATCAGACCAGACCAGATCAGATAAGATCCAATCAGATCAAATCTCATCAAGAATTATTGTTGTTGTTGTTGTTATTATTAAAAATGAAAAAATAAACTTTAGAAACAAGTTAAATAGAAAACTGAGAAAGTAATCCTTACTTATTAGATGTCGAAAAAATTATTTTTAAAATGATTTGATAATGCAATCTAATTCTACTTTTATAATATATTTTTATTGTTATCTGTAATTTGAGTTTCTAAAGTTTTGATCTTTTATATGGATGAGATATTTTAATAAAAATACTATCTCTTATGTATATTGATTATCTAAATTTAATTACTTTTTAATGTGTATATAAATTAAATATTTATTTTAATGTATATATGAACTAATTATTAAAATATTAAATCAATATTCTTATTTCACAAAAAAATAATCATAAAATAAAAAATATTATTACATTAGAATATGAATGATTATTTTAATATATGAATTAACTAATCTTATTTTATTAAAAAATAATCATAAAATAAAAAATATCAATTATATTATAATATGAATTATCATTAAAATTTTCAAAAAGTTATTATAAAGTCAAATTATTGATTTGAATTTTAAATCAAATCATAAATAATCAGATCAGAACAGATCCAATCAGACTATATCAAATCAGATCCAATCAGATCAGATCACATCCAATCAGATCAGATCATATCCAATTAGATCAGATCAAATCAGATCTGAACTACAAAAAATCAGATCAGATCAGAAAAAATAAGTTGAACGGAACGGAGCCTAAACCCTACATTGTGAAAATGACTTATGTTTTAGTCCTATTCAGTGCAAAATTCACATCTTTAATTTCTACTCGAATTATAAGATTGAGGGATGTTGATCGATTGATTGTAATAAAAGTTCCATTAAGAATTGGAAGAATAACCTTATTTCCTTACCAGTTGGAATGCTAGAGTCACAAACATATACTTCACAAACGTCACAAACTTGTCTTTTTTGGATTTTAAATTTAAACATCTTTTATTATTTCAGGGTATCTTATTTCTAGGAAAGTGTTAAAAAGACAAGTCTGTGAATTTTGTGAACTGTTTATTTGTGACTCTAGCATTACTTTTCTCATTAACTCTAGCACCTTAATTATAAGGGGTTTCTTTTTTTTCGAGCTATATTGATTAATGAAGCATAGGTTTAAAAGAATTGAAGGGTATTTTAGAACTTTTTATTTTCAAACGTTAGTGTAAATAGTATGAGTTCTATTTTGGAAAAAACCATTTAATTAAGTCCTATTTAAATGTTTTTCTCATGAGAAAAACTTGTCTGGAATCCAATTTCAATTTTTTAAGATTTCCAAATATTAATTTTGAGTAAACTCCAGGTTTGAAATCATAGAACGCTTGCACTAGGTTAATATACCTGTCATTTAAATTTTTTGACTCAAGGTTGACGAAATTTAGTCAATCAAATACATTAATTGTGCCCTACAAAAATAACTTTATACTCCCTCCCTCCCAATTTATAATGGTTGTTTTTGTTTACAATGTTTGACTGAAATTATTTTCAAATCATTTTATATGAATTAAAATTACATATTAAATTAAATATTAAATTACATATTGACTAAACACTAAGGTTTCCATGACATTGCTCGACAATGTCAAGGGATGGCCCGAGGGTGCTCCGGTGCCTCGTTCGTAAAATTGACGGTTCCCACCCCTCTAACCCCCCGGTAAACACCCCCACTCCGCCCCGACCCGAACACACCCCCTACCCCCGTCAATTGCACCCCACAAGTTGATTTTGACTTTGGAGTAAAATTTTGACTCTAAAGTCAAAATCAACTTGTGGGGTGCAATTGACGGGGGTAGGGGGCGTGTTCGGGTCGGGGCAAAGTGGGGGGGTTTACCGAGGGGGTTAGGGGGTAGGAACCGTCAATTTTACGAACTGGGCACCGGAGCACCCCGGGTCATCCCTTGACTAAAATCACATATTGACTAAAATTACATATTAAATCATTTAATATGAGTCAAAATCATTTTATTTGAGTTAAAATTACATATTAAATTACGCATGAGTTAAAAAAATAAAAATTACATATTAAATTACTAAATCAAAAGATCTACCAAACTAGTAATGATCATAGTACTTTATTTTATTAAATTGCTAACGAAAATAGAGAAAGAAAGAAATTGAATGAAATTTGACCGTGTGAATAATAAACATTATAAATTGGGATGCAAGAAGTAATACTTTTGGCAAGACAACTCCAATAAAATTATTTTTGTATTAATATCTAACAATTTTTTTGGTAATTGATGGTAAAAAGTTATCCAATTTTACACGAAAAGTCAAACTAGGATACTTAGTTTTTAGAAGAAAGAGTGTATGCGCATCTGGTTGTATGTTTGGGATTATATAGAATACACATGTAGTGATATGACCCACAATTCTTCTTGGGTTAGAATTTACATTTGAGCTCTCGAATCAAGTCAACCAAAATTCAAATTTGTGATTGTGACCCATAAAATATTTTTATATTCTAACAAGCTCATCGTACTCGCCTCTGTCGCGACTAGACCCAATATATCTTTGGACCTCGGGGAGCATTATACAAAAAGGATATGAGACAAACACGAGGATATAAGACATTTATTTTGAGGCAAAGGAAGTATTTATTCTTTTACTTATGGATTACTTGAGTTCACAGAAAAGAGAGAAGGCGACACACCGAATTTGAAGTCTAATGATCTAATTATTCTAATCTGATAAAAGGCTTGTTCTGCTGCTTTTGTGTACTTCACATATTTTTTAAGATAATAATAATGTGAAACTGTTGTATTGTTACATCTTTCTTTACTATATACCAGTAAATGCTTAGACATTGAATTCAGAACCTATGTGAGGGAATGCTTGCGTACATGTAGGTTTCGGGAGCCAACGACATATGTGCCTTGGAAAGAATAATTAATTGAAGCTGGAGGAACCGCTGTATCTGCCACGCAAATAATCCTCTACAGATATGTTCTGATTGGATCCACAGCTCGAAAGGGACTCAGAATCCAAATTTTGCAGCGCGACGTTAATAAAAGAATGTATGTTTGCTGGAGGGGGATGCTGTTCTTCATCGTCCACGTCTACTACATCGTCCGAACTGTTTGCTTGTTGCATTGCCCAACCAATGGCTTCTTCTTCACCTCGGAGGAGCTTTACAACCTATTATTATTATTCGAATGTGCACAGCACAAAATACTATGATTCGTTACGGAAAAATAGTGTGCATTATTCTCCACTGTGGAAATTGGGAGAGAGCAGCAGACTTACTATGTCAATTGGAGGGCGTCGACTAGGTGCCCGTTTGATACAAAGGGTGGCAGCTAATACCATCCTCTCAAACTCCTCATGTTTATATGTGTCAAGCAATCTTAAATCCAGTAAATCTGCAGCCTTTCCATCCTTCAATGTTTGTTTTGCCTAAAAATAAGTAAATACAATATACTATGTTGTTCACAGCAAACCATTAGCAAAACTGTGTTTTTCTGTTTGGGAAGAATATTAAATACTTACCCACATGACCAAACTCTCCTGCTGCTTTGAATTAGTATTGTCAATCGGCTTTCTACCAGATAAAAGTTCAAGAAGTACCACGCCCAATGCATATACATCAATTTTTTCATTAACTTTTCCATTCATAAAATATTCTGGAGCCATGTACCTGCCCAAAAAAAGAGGTTATAGAAAATGAAAAATTCAACAACATACAGTTGAAGGGAAGAATGACTCGCTCACCCAAATGTGCCAACAATGTCAGTGTCATCTAAATCGCAGGAAGAAACTGAAGCTGATGTTGCAAGCCCAAAATCAGACAGCTGTAAGGTAAGAATAAATGTTAATTTCTCGCTATGCGATTTGTACGAAAAATTTCGATGTGAAATGCTACACCTTTGGTCCAAAATCGTCTGAGAGAAGAATGTTTGATGATTTTACATCCCTGTGGATAATTGATCCCGTGGCTGAATTATGTAGATGGTCCAATGCCTCAGCCACCCCCAAAGCAACCTTGTATCTATCGTCCCAACCAAATGAATTCCCACCATTTTGAGGACCTAATTCCAAGTATGACTTAATCAGTATTATTAAACCCACGGGAACTCGAGCTCATCTAACTCCAAAAACAAGAGTTTTCAAGTAATGAATACCATGGAGATTGTCTTCAAGGCTTCCTCGGGATAACAGATCATAAACTAAGAGAATGTTATTTTCTTCCACGCAATACCCAAGAAGTGAAATAATGTGTTTGTGATGCAAGCTTGTAATAATCTCTAGTTCTGAACAAAATTGTTTTACTACGATTTCTGATGGCTTGAAAATTTTCACTGCCACCTCCATCCCATCTGGAAGACACCCTTTGTATACCTTACTACTGCCACCATTTCCAATTATATTTTCTGTAAGTGTGATTCACTAATCTATCAGAAGCTGAAAGCATGAGCTATTGGTAAAATGAGAATAATTAGGAAACAGACCATGCAGAAAACCAGAGGTTGCTCTCAAGAGTTCCTGGTAGCGAAACAACCTGCATATAGATGAGTACTTCTCGGTAAGGCACTCTACTTCCTTGGGAATTCGAAAAGTGGGGCTTTTATTTGAGGCTTCTACAACATCCGAGTTTGGAGAATGGCAAAGCCCATCATACATGTTTTGTTTGTGATCGAGGTCTCCGAAAGATTGTTCACATTGTACTTTTTTATTCCATTGCAATACGTGAGGCGTTTTTGAAGAATGTTTTCCAGATTTTAAGTTCTGATGAAACACTTTTCTGAACAATGCTGACCCTGAACTTGATTGACACACATCCATTGGCTTAAAAGGTACTATGGGCAGCAAAGCCAAAGTATCCACATTGCCACTACTTGACAACGGTAGCTGTTTAAAAGAATTGTCCTCTGGATCTGCTGCATTGGGACTTATGGCCAAGGTCTTACTTTCTGAACTCAGTTCAAGCACATTGGAGATGTGGGATCCCTTGCCAGTAGAGGCGGTTGCCACCCTGTGATAGACAACCTTGCCATTATTGACAGCAATAACAGATATGCTCTTCCTGACCTTCCTTCCACAGTACTTTGCAACTGAAAGAGATGATCTAATATTGTGGTGGGTGCTTGAAGTACCGACAACCAAATTTGGTGCGTCGTAAATGTTTGCCTCACTGGCTAGAACCTTACGAGCTGGTGACCCTCTACACACCTTGAACTCAAGATCAACCTACAAAATCCATCACATAAAGTAGAAACGACAGGGATGTGACAATTTAACAATATACCTTCATCCGTGACAAATAGTTCGGAGTAGTAATTACTAAATAACTTGTTTAACAGGTCTTCCATTTGCCATTCACACATTAAATACACATTAAATATGTTGGGAAATTGATTAAATATTCAAAAGGGAACAAAGAAAAAGAAAGGTTCAATGTTCACACTATAACACCTACGCATCATTGCTTAGTTGTTTCATGACTAAGGGGAATGCACTAAATAATAGGAGTAAAATAATATGGAGTACAAGCTCAATTTGTGGCCAGGTTCATTGTACAAAGAAGATGGGTTCTTCTTGGTGATGAGGCCCCATAATTGATTGATGGGTATTGTTTTATTATGGGTGGTGTGAGTTACGAAGCATTATAAATGGGTATTGTTGTGCAGAAATCGAGAATAACAAAAATAAACGAGATAAACACGACAACAGATTTAACGTGGTTCACCAACGTTGTGTTGGCTAGTCCACGGGGGAAGAAGGGGAGCAGTTTTATTTCTGATGAAGAGGCAAGAACAGAATACAGAATACCACATAGGGTTTGTGATAGCACCCATATAAATAGTGCTTGGCGAAACCCTAACAGACTTAGGCCCAAAACTACAGAATCGACAGATAATTAGAATAGCCCAATTAGAATGGGGTTCGGACATCTCAGGATTCGGACCTCTCAGAATTCGGATTTCTTGACTTCTCCGAAAGTCGGATTTCTCCGGATGCTGTAACGAGTCAGATTCAAGGCATTACAACAAATCTCCACCTTGACTTGAATTCTCCATACAGATCCTTCAGATTCAGACGCACTTTGGTTGTGCCAGGCCTCCCCCTCTTCCTCAGAATTGCCCCGCAGGGCAACTAACAGCTTCTGATGTTAAGCAAGTCCAAACAGTGTTGAAACTTGCTTTGCGGAACCGGCTTTGTGAACATAACAGCAGGATTATCAGCAGTTCCTTCTTTCTTCACTTGGATTCTCCTCTCACTCCTCAAGAAATGATACCTCACGTCAATATGCTTGGTTCTTTCATGATGGACTTGATCCTTGGCTAAACAAATCGCGCTCAAACTGTCACAATACACTGTGGCCTTATCATGATGCAGACCAAGATCACTAACCAGCCCTTTCAACCAAATTCCCTCTTTTGCAGCTTCTGTCAGGGCCATGTACTCTGCTTCCGTAGTTGACAAAGTTACTGTAGATTGCAAAGTTGCCTTCCAACTAGCAACAGAACCTCTAAGAGTAAATACATAGCCAGTCATCGATCTTCTCGTGTTAACATCTCCAGCATAGTCAGAATCAGAATATCCTGTAACCAAACACTGAGTATCACCTCCATAAATGAGACCAATGTCAGATGTACCTCTAAGGTACCGGAAAATCCTCTTCACAGCCTGCCAGTGTTCCCTCCCTGGTTGTCCCATGAATCTGCTAACTACACTTACTGCATGTGCTAAGTCTGGCCTTGTACAGACCATGGCATACATCAAACTTCCTACACCACTAGCATAAGGGACTCGTGACATATACTCCTTCTCTTCTTCTGACTGTGGAGCGAACATGGCAGTGAGATGGGTATTGGCAGCACTGGGGGTGTCAATAGGCTTAGATGAAGACATGCCAAACCTCGTCAAGACCTTCTGAATGTAGCCTCTTTGTGACAAGAAAAGTTTCCTTTTCTCTCTGTCTCTAATGATCTCCATCCCTAAAATCTTCCGAGCGGCTCCCAAATCCTTCATCTCAAACTCAGCACTAAGTAAACCCTTCAGCTTCTGAATGTCATACTTCTGCTTTGCAGCTATCAACATATCATCTACATAAAGCACCAGGTAGATGAATGAATCATCCTTGAGCCTATTGTAGTAGACACAACAATCGTATGGGCTCCGAGTGTAGCCCAACTTCACCATATCGCTGTCAAATCTTTTGTACCACTGCCTTGGGGACTGCTTAAGTCCGTATAAGGACTTCTTCAACTTGCAAACGTGACTTTCCTTCCCTGGAACTTGGAAACCATCCGGCTGAATCATGTATATCTCTTCTTCTAACTCTCCATGTAGAAAAGCTGTCTTCATATCAAGTTGCTCGAGCTCCAGGTTCTGATGTGCAACTATTGCTAGTAACACACGAATGGAAGTATGTCTGACCACCGGTGAGAAGATCTCATTGTAGTCCACTCCCTCTCTTTGGTTGAAGCCTCTTGCAACGACTCTGGCTTTATACTTGACCCCTTCTGCTGGTGATATTCCTTCCTTCCTTTTGAAAACCCATTTGCAAGTAATAACCTTTCTCCCTGGAGGCTGTATGACAAGATCCCATGTTTGATTTTTATGCAAGGACTCCATCTCATCTCCCATAGCAGTTAACCA